CGTGCTGACTCAGAAGTATTTTTATCTATTATAATCTATATACATGTTGTACAGTTGGTGCACATTTTCTTTCCAACAAAGCAGCGTTAAAAGAATTCTGTATTTAAAAAATAGTTATTCTGAAAAGATTTCCAAACCAGTTTCACAATAATGAAGGCCACATTATAATGCAAGGATAAAATTACTATATATACAATAACTCATGTGATAATTTTGTACCAAACACGGTAAATTGTAAAATCCATTAAGATGAAGAAAATTGATAAAGGCATTACATAATATGTTTCTATCTTATAAAACATATGAGATGTTTACAGAGCGCAACATCATTGTATTACTGTAATAACATTCATCAGGACTAGCCTCAAGATCAAAAGATTGGCACGCTAAAAATGTAAAATTTTTGATAGCATAAAAAACAAGGACTTAAATGGAACAGCCAAAGTTCGCACCTTAGATCAACTTTCCCTGAGAGAAGTGCAACAAATTAGCTTTAATGGAACAGCCAAACACACCTAAGATCAACTTTCCCTGAGAGAAGTGCAACATTAATTAATTAGCTGTAGCACAATTGCATCATTTTATAAACTAGAAATAATATAGTAGAGGTTGCATTATCTCTGAGATTTGAAAGAATAGGGGAAGGAGGAAGAATATACAATTATTATGTTCTCAGGTTACTTTCAAGGTTGTTATTCATAAAAATGGTCCTATTGTTTTGTCTTGCTTGGGTAATCAATGGTCTTGTAGTTTTGCCTTGTTTGGGTAATCAATGGTCTTGTAGTTTTGCCTTGTTTGGGTAATCAATGGTCTTGTAGTTTTCCTTGCTTGGGTAATCAATGGTCTTGTAGTTTTGCCTTGCTTGGGTAATCAATGGTCTTGTAGTTTTGCCTTGCTTGGGTAATCAATGGTCTTGTAGTTTTGCCTCGCTTGGGTAATCAATGGTCTTGTAGTTTTGCCTTGCATGGGTAATCAATGGTCTTGTAGTTTTGTCTTGCTTGGGTAATCAATGGTCTTGTAGTTTTGTCTTGCTTGGGTAATCAGTGGTCTTGTAGTTTTGTCTTGCTTGGGTAATCAATGGTCTTGTAGTTTTGTCTTGCTTGGGTAATCAGTGGTCTTGTAGTTTTGCCTTGCTTGGGTAATCAATGGTCTTGTAGTTTTGCCTTGCTTGGGTAATCAATGGTCTTGTAGTTTTGCCTCGCTTGGGTAATCAATGGTCTTGTAGTTTTGCCTTGCATGGGTAATCAATGGTCTTGTAGTTTTGCTATTGTCTTAGTAAATTGAAATTTCACACCAAGTCGGAGCATTATATATTCTTGATATTCATGTAGCAAAATAGTTCTGGTCAAACATCTTGAAGTCAAGGTAATTGAACTTTCATCTTAAAGGTAAATTTAGCTTGGTTGGCGGGTGAGGGGGTCAGGTATCCTTTACCAACTTAACTCAAAGAACATCTAGTAGTATAAAAGTTTCTTAAGCAATCTATACCAATAAGAAATCAACATTCAGTTATATGGTAAGTACCAAAAAAATAAAATTATTGTCTTAATTCTGTGCACAAAATCTAAAAGTTAGAAAATCGTAAAATGTTGATTTTATCTCTTTAGATTAGTGAATTATGAAAATTTGTTTGACCTTATTTACTGACAATAATTGTGACTAAACGATAAGTAATTTACATAATTAACACATGTAATTGGCTTATCAATAAAACATCAATACCGAATCCATTTGGAAATGAATATTTAACAAATTTAAAGTTTGATCTTGTTCAAATCTAGTTCAAAAGTGTGAAAAGTTTGAACATGATTGGAATTTTAAGATAAACAGTAATTATTACGATATTCATCTCTCCTGGGTAAATATTTGTACAATATTACACTTGAAATTGTTAACTGGACATACAAGGCTTTAAATAATATTGAACAAATATGTGCACTTGAAACTAAGTGAGGCAAGTTAAAGGGGATGTTAAAAAATCTATAAGTTGATATTCTGATAAAAAATTGAAAGGGGATGTTGATTTTCTAGTATATACATATTTCTAATCTAAAAAAAAAACAACCAAGACATTGGATATATGTGATGCCAATATTAGAAGATACATCTGAAACAAATACATAATTGTATGATTTTTTTTACCAGAGTACTTGAAATTCAAAAAAGTCAAGTAAATATCAAATCTACATGAAATAACAATAGAAATTATCAAATTATGTAGATATAAGAAGATGTGGTATGAGTGCCTATGAGACAACTCTCCATCCAAGTCACAATGTGTAAAAGTAAACCATTATAGGTCAAAGTACGGCCTTCAACACAGAGCCTTGGCTCACACCGCACAGCAAGCTATAATATATAAACTAAAATATAAATGTTGTTTACATCTACAGGCATTGGGTGTCAGGAAGATAGTTGTCTCATACCTTCTTATTATATAGAAGAATGCATCTGTAACCAAACAGAGGGATAACATTATATAGAAAACCTCAATAGGTCTGGTTTACAACATAATGTTTTCCTCCCAGTCTCAGTTAGATGTTGTTAAATACTGTAAACCAGCAAATTTTCGTGAGAGATTTATTTTCGCGAGTTGAAAAATAAAGCAAAAATAAATCATCGTGAATATATAGCACTTGGGTCTTCTCTCATAAAATACATCAAAAAATGCGTAAACCGCGAAAAAGAAATTGCCGCTAAGTCGGCTGACAATTGCTAAACGCGAAATAAAGTATCTGCAAAAATAACTTGGTTTACAGTAAATGTTTTTTTTCCCTGAGTGAGTCATATTGCTCTTGTTGTGTTGACAGCACTTTGGGCAAATTTGAGTTAATTTTTCTCTTACAATTTTAATCAGCCTTTTAAAAGATCACATTTCCTTCACCCAACAAGCCAAAATTTCCAAAGAGATCTACAAAGTTTTTTGAGTGCTCTTTACTGGAACATCATATGCATAATTTCAAGCTGCATTCAGGTGGGAAAATTCAGGTGGGAAAATCTAAGACTTGTATATCCCTATGCTGTGGCACTCATCATATCTGTAGTGACCAAATTCTGAAAGGAAACAAAAATGGCTTTATCCTAAAACTATTACTGTTATATGGAGCTCTGTGAACTTATGACTTTAAATAATAAGTATTAAATTGTATTTATTGAATAGCCAAGAGTTAAAACTTTCAGGACATAGTACATGTGGTTTAAAAAGGAGAAGAAAACACATTTGTGGACATGTTCTTAGATTACAATCTTTAATTTTAGGACAACTTGTCTATTATATTCTTCTATAGTTCAGTTTAGTAAACATAAATTTTAATGTATGTTTAAAGTCTGTAAAGAAGTGTCCACAATAAGATTGAATGGTCCAGATTTACTACCTTAATGGGGTTGGAAAATTTATCGATATCATTAGATTGTCTTTTCCTACATTTTGGTATGTAAGACATTTTAATTTGGTTGATAAAGGAGCTGATAATGTCACCAACTGATACAAACATTATAACATGTCTGTCCATCGACATGGTCATCAACTACAACCCATTTCATGGTTAAAAGATCAAACATATCGTTGAGGTCATGAACCATTCAAATTTCATAAATTCATTGAAAATTCCAAAATTAATTTGAAGTTTTTGAAAAAGGTTAAAAATGAAGCACTGTTGAATGAAAAATTACAGTATCATATTTTGTTAAGTTAATAAAAGACTTTTTGCACTTTATAAGGCTGTATTTGAATGTGAGTGACTTTTGTCCCTCTAAGCCATCCCTAGTTCTCTGGTGCTCATTTATATGTAGCCTCTTGTGGTTAGTGAATACATAATCCTTATTTAGTCATAACTTTTTTTTTTTATTTCATTTATAATTTAGTGTAAACTAAAATTTCATTCTGTAAAAATTTTACTTCAGTTCATAAATTAACAAACACAGGCAACAATACAATATCTTCGTCAGAGTACCCCACAGTTTGGAAAAACATAATGTTTCTTACTAAGTCAGAAAAAAGGAAGTCATTATACTGGCTTTAAAGCTTTTGTGTTTGACGATCGCAAACTTTCTTTAAAAATATACTTATATGGTCAACGTTGGATGATTTTGAAAACCCTGTGGTGAATTTTATGAATGAAACTGGAAATTTGAGTCGTGGATCAACAATTCAATGAATAAATTCATATTTTCAGTACAAATGTATATAGATCAGATGTATTGTGAATTTTGTCAGCTCAAGGATCTTATATTTATATCTGATAGTTTTTGTTATGTTTATAGTATTTGATATAATAGTGATTTCTAGTTCTGTGTATATATATAATATTTCTGACTTATATAAAATGTTTCCTTGGAGGATTACTTTCTAATATTTTATGTAAGTACTAAATAAACAGGAAAATTAGGTTAACATAATATAATTTATTAGTCTCAATTGTGAATTATATTAATCACCCCTTTTTATGCCCCCGCTGTAGTGTAACCTTTGTCCGTCTGTATGTCGGTCTGTATGTCACAAAATTAGTTTCCATTCTCTAACTTTTGTTTGCTTCAACCAAATGTGATGAAACTTATACACCATGCTTATTACCACAAAGCCAAGATCAAGTGTGAATTTTGGTTGTGTCACTTTTACTGTTCTTGAGTTATATCCCTTCATAACATTATATGCAGGCCGGGCATTATCTGTGTCCCATGGACACATTCTCGATTTATTTTTAATCTTTTTTGCATATTTGTCAAATACCTAATTTCATTTGTCATTTCACTAATTTCTGTATTTCTAAGAAATTGTATAAAGGTGTGAAAATAATTCAACTTCATAATTGATTTAGTTATCCAACTCAGTTTTGATCCTAGCACCACAGATGACTCTAATATGTAGATGACAGGCTCTTCTAAACTATAAGTCTGGTATCTTTAAAGATTTTTTTTCTAGTTGCTATTTTTAAAGTTTACAGAAAATATAGTCAACATCATACTGTTCTGTTTCTAATTGAAGTTCATTTAATTTGCAGATTATTTTGAATATGTTGTAAAAGAAGAAGTCAGAAATTGCCATCTCACCAAACACAAGACCATTTAGACTTTCATGTCATTAGGTAAGCAATGATTTAGGGGAGTTAATTTAAGTTGACCAGAATCTCTGGCAAATAAAGTGGACCATATATCTGAGGAACAGGACTGTTATTGCTGTTCTTATTAATAATTTGAATAATATTTATTATTTAAAATAAATTAAGATTTTTATGGTGTTATTGGGAGGCATTTTAAATGTTTTATTGATGTTAATCTTTGTAGGTAAATTGATTTTCAAAAGGATAAGGGCAACAATTTGTCTTTAAAAACTGGAAATAAAAAAAACTTCAAAGAATACAGACTTATACTACATGCTTTTATATTTATATCAGTCTGCTTGTTGACTACTGTATGGTTAAACTTAAAACTATGTCTTTTTTAACGAGGGATGTGACATACTTTCAAGTTCATAAAATGTTTTGACAATAAATATTTGAATTGATTTACTGCAGTGTTATTGAAGTGAGAATTTTTTATGTCTTTTCCTTATGATTAAGAATAAAGAAATGATCTCTGACATTTTACTTATTATACTTTTTTGGAATCAGTGTCATGAAAACACTACACCAAAACACAATTTCACAACACATTAGCCCACAATATTACATCACTATGAAACATATTTAAATGTAATTGTCATACCCCATTGAAACTCATTGTCACAATATTTCAACTTTCAAAATTACAAAACAAAACACAAGTTTACACCATACCTAAACAAAATGTCAGATTACACTCAACTTTCATGTCACAACACCCATCAGATCACAATGTCATTACACACAAAAACACTGGCAATACATCAGAACAAAATATCATCACACACAAAAACAGTCACAACACTGTCATCACACACAAAAAGTCACAACACTTTGTCATCATACAGAAAAAGTCACAACACTTTGTTATCACACACAAAAAACAGTCACAACAAATTGTCATCACACAAAATAGTCACAACACATTGTCATCATACACAAAAAGTCACAACACTTTGTCATCACACACAAAAAAACAGTCACAACATATTGTCATCACACAGAAAAAGTCGCAACACATTGTCATCATACACAAAAAGTCATAACACTTTGTCATCATACACAAAAAAACAGTCACAACACATTGTCATCACACAGAAAAAGTCACAACACATTGTCATCACACACGAAAAGTCACAACACATTGTCATCACACACGAAAAGTCATAACACTTTGTCATCATACAAAAAAACAGTCACAACACATTGTAATCGCACAGAAAAAGTCACAACACATTTTCATCACACACGAAAAGTCACAACACTTTGTCATCACATACGAAAAGTCATGACACTTTGTCATCACACACAAAAAAAACAGTCACAACACATTGTCATCACACAGAAAAAGTCAAAACACATTGTCATCATACACAAAAAGTCACAACACATTGTCATCACACACAAAAAGTCACAACTCATTGTCATCACACACAAAAAGTTAACACTTTGTCATCACACACAAAAAGTCACAACACATTGTCATCACACACAAAACATGCAAAAAGTCACAACACTTTGTCATCATACACAAAAAAACAGTCACAACACATTGTCATCACGCACAAAAACAGTCACAACACTTTGTCATCACACACAAAAAGTAACAACACTTTGTCATCACACACAAAAAGTCACAACACTTTGTTATCACACAAAAAAACCAGTCACAACACTTTGTCATCACACACAAAAAGTCACAACACTTTGTCATCACACAAAAAAACAGTCACAATGCATCAGAGCACAATGACACACAAACTCATTAACAGTTCATAGAACATCAAATGAAAATTTACAAAGGACAGTGTGACAACAAGAAATGTCACAGTTCACAAAAAAAAACCCAGCTATTATAAACACCAATTGATTGTATAGTCATTGACATCATGTCAAGTACATCATTACATTTCAAGACACATTTTATAGTTAAAGCATTGTGATTTTAGAAAAAATTCTTTATTGTGGTCTACTTAGTAACTCATAATACTCTTTTCTTTGACACTGAATGCACAATAGATCTGAGAATATATACTGAACAAACTTGTTGCATATTTGTTTCTTTTCAGAGAAAAAGAATACTCTTAGATTTTTGTTTTTCTGTCCAATAGGTAATAGTTACCATTTAGAATCAGAATTTTTTCCATTAAAAGGAATTTCTCTTGTTACTTATTTAAGATAACTGGACCTAAATTATAAAAAATTGGTAGAAAGGAATAATTGTATTAATGTTCTAAGTATATTTGACAGGCCTTATTTGTTCAGGGGGTTATAATAGATATGGAATTAAAGTCATGTTAAGGCCTTTATTTTTGAATGGTTACTTTATAGAAGAAAGATAAAAGACCAGTTTTTAAATTCTGAGCCTCTTTGTCAAATAACGTGATCTGGTGTTGTTATATTTCTCTAAGTGTGGGAAGATTTAAATTACGATATGTTTTCATTGATGATTATTTTACCTTGACCAGAACTTTTTTATGTAATTCTTTTAAATTATTTGACCCTGTCTGTGACCTTTGTTCAATAGATAAATGTAGTTTCAATGTAACCTTTGTTTATATATAATTACGAATAACCATGATCTGGTATTTATAAAACCTCCAAAACGGTACCCTCCCTCGTCAGACATTCATGATTAAATTATTGACTCAAAAGGTTTACTCTACAGTCATACATAATAGAACAATTTTTATTTCAGAAATGTTCCTGGATACTACAATATGACTGGTCATTACAGTGCCTGAAACTCTGCAATATATTTAGGTTTGTAATTCAAAGATTTATTCATGATTCAATTGTTGGTGTTGAGAACTCTAAAACTCTAGAGGTGGGCCAGGGCTAAGGCACCTCTTTGTGACACCCAGTTTATGAATTCCTCGTCAACGGCATAAAAAATGAAATAATTTGCCTTCCCATTTCTCTTATCTCTGTTGGCTTTTGATTTCAGAATCCCTCTTTACGGTTAATAACTCTGTAAATGTTATATTTAAATTTGTTGCCTGTGGTTCTGTTATGCCCCCACCTATGATAGTCATGGGGGGGGGGGGGGGGTAATTATTTTTTCTAGTCTGTGCATCCATCTGTTGGTTGGTTTGTCTGTTAGTCTGTCCATCCTGTATCAGGTTTAGTTTTTAGGTTAAAGGTCGTTAGTTACCATTAAGCTTTGTTCACATCTTCTTGAAACGTTATTAGTACATGCTCATTATGATATGAACTTTAATTATATACCAAATTATGGTTTTGAACCGGATATCAGGGTTTACTGAATATTGAAATGTGATAGTGTGAAGTTAGTACATTCCCAGTTTAAATATTTTTGGTTTAAGGTTAGCTTACCATGAAGTTGTGGTCACATCAACTTGAAACTTTAACATGTTGAAGTACACATGTTCATTAAGAGTAGAATTTTAAAATTTGAATGCCAAATTATAATTTGACCTGTATTTCATGGTTTACTGAACATAGACATATAATAATACGAGCAGGGCATTGTGTCCTACGGACATGTCTAGTTTAAAGTAAAATTTATCCAACAGATATGTTTTAAGGCTGAATATCTGTCTGATTCTCGGTCAGACTAGGTATCAGTCAGTTCTAGTTTTGACCTATATATGTGGGTGTTATAAACTGTCAAATGATACCTTATTATTTTTTAATTCTGACCTTCTGTGTGCGGTGGATAGAATGTGTCTAATGATAACAACCTAGGGTATTACAAGCCTGTCATGTCTTCTATAAGACTTGGAGTTATCCCAAGCATTGCACTGATGTGTAAATAATGTCATATACAGAGAACCAACAGGTCATTTTATAACTAACTTTGCCAACTTCATGTCAGGACGTTATTTCATAAATGCTGTAAGTAAAATAAGGTTTTATAGATAATACAAGAGATCTTGAAGGAATATTGATGGATAATGATACAAGGTTATGGCAATACCCCTTTTATTAAATTTAACTTTTTTTACTTCTATGTCTTTTATACATACTTATAATGAATGAAAGTGTAAGAGTTTGCCTGTTTTGGTGGTTGATGAAAAATTTATAAAACAGTGTTATTCTGGGGAAGTATAGATCAGTGTTACTAAATAGTTGTCGCCTTTTAATGCATACTTGGAATGCAAATTAGTGTAATTGAGATTAAAAGAGCAACCAAAAAAAAAAATCAGGTTCCAAAATCATGATTATATATCTAATGTACTCTGTAATTCAATAGTCTTGTCAAGAAAATTAAAAAAAGAAATTTTCACTCAATTAAAGTGGTTAACATTTGCCCATAAGTTTAAATACGGGACACTTTAAGACTATTAGATTTAATTTCTACACCCACTTTTGTAATTGGTGTATGATAAATATTAGTTCTTCTATTACTGAATAACTGAGAACAAGTTCAAATAACAATCCACAAAAGGAGTATCCACATATTATTAAGTTCATATTAACAACTATAGACACATTGGTCTTTATGGGGAGCAAAATAGGGGATTAATTTAAATAATTTATTCAATGTACTGTAAATTCAGAAATTATTGCGATGTTATTATTATTGCGAAAAATGCGACAGGGTTATAATCGCAATAATTTAAACTCGCATTCTGAAATTTTTTATATGAATTAAACAGGATTTTTCTCAATATCGCAAAAATTAAAATCGCATTTTAGTCTAAAATGACAAAATCGCAATAATAAATGCTCGCAATAATTTCTGAATTTACAGTACATAAAAATAATAAAATATAATATTTTCAGTAAAAGATTTAATAATCTTAGAAATGTCACCTTAACAGATCAATAAATATATTTGGATGAATTGATAAAGAGTATTTTGATAATTCTTGAAGTACGTGCTGGACTAAGTGATACAAGTTGGTAGAAAATGACACATTTGAAAGGGATTGATTTTTTTTCAGATAAATTTTAATGATTTGTGATAACTTGATTTGAAATCTTCCCGGCTTTAGAAATTGAAACAAAGAATATATATAGACAGACAGCGTTGGTTTGTGGACAGCAAATTTCATACTTGTCAAAGCCATTCAGTATATAAAAAGTACACAGAATTACCAAAAATATAATATGGAAGAGCATCATAGAATGGCTTATAAAAGGGGTCCTGAAAAGCAGGGTCCTTTTCTTGGACTTTACTGAATTGTTTGAAATTGTTTAAGAATTTTTCAGTATCCACATTTAATGATTTTGTGTGAAACACTTGATAAAGTGTTATATGTCCCCCCCCCCTTTTCCAGAGTATCACTGCTATTGTGTTAGCATATATTAATAACAATGGTAGCAGACAGTATAAATGTTTTTTTTTTTTTTTTTTGTTCAACTGCCCTAGCTTAGACTAGAAAGGCAAGTTAGTGTAAACTCTGATCATGAAAGAACCAATGCTTGACTGCATAAAAAAATAGCAATAAGATAAGCAACATGACTGGTGACACTGGTGGGGCAGGATCTGTTAACCCTTCAGGAGCACCTGAGATCACATTAAGTTGTTGGTGAGGTTCATGTATTTTCAGTCTTTAGTTTTCTATGTAATGGTATGTTGACTTGTTTGTCTGTTTTTTGTCATGGCGTTATCAATTTCTCTTCAGCTTGTGAGTTTTGAATGTTCCCTTGGTATCTATCGACTCTTTTTGCACCATTCCTTAGCAGGCATTGTACACATTTTAATATGCTGATTTTCAATAAGTAAATAAATAGTTGTTATTTAGCCAAACCCTAAAATTTGACTGATATCCAGAGGCAATTGACTTTAAAGAGATTTGATATCGAGACTATAAGATCTTGTAAATCTATTCCTTAGTAAAATTATAGAAAATAGACGCACTAAGTATTAAAACAAGATTTGAAATATAGATTTCTTAATAGAAAGGATCTTCTTTCACTGTTTTGAATGATTTAATTTGATCAACTGTCAAAACAAGTCATCACAATTTAACCAGTAATGTCTATCTGATAGCGACACATTGACTACTTACAAAGTAAGAAATATTCAATAATGTAAGCACTCAGGCCTTAAGTCCACTCCTCAAAATATAACTATGGCTTTACTGGTCCCAAAACTTTTATACCTGATTTTATTTTTAGTGAAACATAATAATGATTTTTAGAAATGAATTTTAAATGATAAAAAGGAATAAAATGATTTGTTTAAAGTAAATGAGACAGCTACCCAACCAACCAAGTGTTACTGAAATAAGCAACTTCAGGATACTGTAGCTCTTGATCATCAGATAAGTACTTGTTCGCCATGTTAGAGCCTCAATTCTAGACAAATTGAAAAAATTCATTAGGAGGGGTATGCTTCAACCACTTGTTTGCACTTTACAACTTTCCTATCTATACTGGTCACATACACTCTTTACTATTTAACTTAAATTAATAAAAGCCAAAAAAAAAAAAACATACTTAGAAGACTTCTGGTGTAGGGAAGAAATTAGTTATATATTGAAAAAAATTAGAAAAAAACATCTCTTTGCTAATTGTATAAGAAATATATGTTCATTATTGGAATTGTAAATACAAAGTAAAATAGTTCTGTCTATATACCTCCTGAGTAAACCTTTCATGTCTGTAGTTCATTACTGTGGTAGACAATTAACTGTTAATTATACATTTAAATGTCTTAAACAAAGATAAGCTATTATAACTTCATGTGGTACATACTCAAACTATAGATTCCTTTGGTTATTACAGGGACATGGTGTCTTTAAGTCATCACAATGACCAGTTGTCCCGCAAGTTATTTTACTGACTAGATGTCAATAAATCATTAAATTATATTTGTGAGTATTTAGTCATCACAGTGACTAGGTGTCCCACAAGTCATTACACAAACAAGTTGTTTGTAAGTCAAGTAACCAACTACATGTATGTGTCTGAAGTCATCAGACTGACTAGTTATCAGTAAATCATTAAACTCCATCTGTAAGTCTTAAGTCATAACACTGACTAGGTGTCTTTAACTCATTACACTGACTTGATGTCTTTAACTCATTACACTGACTTGATGTCTTTAACTCATTACACTGCCTAGGTGTATTGTAAGTTATTACACTGCCTAGGTGTATTGTAAGTCTTCACACTGACTTGGTGTCTTTAACTCATTACACTGACTTGGTGTCTTTAACTCATTACACTTACTTGATGTCTTTTAGTCATTATACTGTCTAGATGTCCTGCAAGTCATTGCACTGACTAGTTATCATAAATTTATAAGACTGACAAGTTGTTTTTATGTCATAAAACTGACTAGGTTCTTATAGTCGTTGATTAAATTATCATGACTCTTCCTGCAGATTGGTTCAAGACATTGCTTTCATAACACATCTGAAGGTATAGAGCTTGTTTAATGTCATACCAGTGGTGGATCCAGAACTTTTTTTTACTGACTGCCATAAGAGGGGGCCCGCTACAGTCATGCTTCAGTGATTCCCTATATAATCAACCAAATTTTTCCCACGAAAGGGGGGCCCGGGCCCCCCAGGGCCCCCTTGGATCTGCCTATGCATACATACTTATTGACCTTGGACAGAATCTGTCTGACCTTGGACAGAGTTTGTCTGATTACTCTTAGTCTCAGTTCTTTGATTTCGATGTGATTTCAGTCAATCAACTATAGAAGATATTGACAAAATCTTTAATAAGACGATAAAAAAGTGTCTTATAATGACTTTTATCGCACCTTTCAGCGTCAACGATCAGATAAGTTTATTAAGGTTTTTTAAATGCTACTTCGGATATAAACCTGTTTTGATCGTATCAATAACTTTGTTAATAAAATCGTTAATCAATAATAGATCAGAACAGACTATATAGTGGCTGAATATTGAAATCTCCTGTTTAATAGGTTGTGGTAAACTGAACAAGTGTTGAAGTACTGATTATGAATGGGATATAATACACATCAGTGTGTGATTATTGGTGAGTAGGAGGTACATCAATTGTATTGGGAAGAATAGAAAAGACAGGCTTATATTTCATACTGTGATTTTAAATTATCTGTGTTTAAGCATGAATTATAGAGCGTGGATAATCTATCTATTATAGAGTAAGTTTCTAATACATATAATTTCTTATTTTAAATTAGGAAAATTGTATACAATGGAACTTTGTATATGTTATATTTAGATTTTCGTTTTCTTTCAATGTGAACAACACAGAACATCGCTTGGGAGTTTATATTTTGGGAAACTGAATTCCCTTTTTGGATTACATTACTTAAGTAGGATGTCTATAAAGTTTTGTCATTAAAACCGGTAAAACTATGTCATTTCTTAGTAGGTTATTTTGTGGCTGGATAGTCTATTAAGTATTCCATTGACTCTGGCCCATTCAGGTCACATCATATTATAACCCAGGACTAAAGGTTCATAAGATATCCTGATATGTTCATGATTTACAAGAAATTTATCACTTCTCTTTTGTCTCAAAACAATTTGGTAAAAAATTTGCTTGTCTTTAGTGAATACCAGAAATTCAAAAAATGTTCTTAAACTGTGAGTGAGTTCTATATAATGGCAAGGTGAATTGGACACTTTTAATTTGATATTTTCTTAATTCTCTCTGAACATATGTAAATGAGTTTACCTTTGCATGGAATATTGTGTATGCCTATTGACACTACATTTGTAGAATAAGGGTAAAACTGGCAAGTTGAACCTAAATTGTTATGTAAGGTACTTTCTGATTTTTGAAGATTGGATGGTGTACCTTGGGCATTATGGTTTTCTCTAACATGAAATCATATAAATCTTTGAAACAAGGTTTGGCATCAATCAATAAATATATCCTAGACTTTTAGAAATTGTATGCTATTATCATTCAGTTCCTATTCTAACAGGTTTATGTTCAAAAGTGTTAAAAAAACATTTTACAGAGCATTTCCCCAATATATTTTGCTATCATTTTTCTTAAATTTTGTTATGAATTTGAGATTTATACTTTTTTCACAAAATATCTTAGATTTTTCCATTGAAATATGTAGAATTATTCTGAAACTAATGTTTGAACTCAGATTCTCTAGGAAAGTTGTCCTTTGATGATTTTGGCAGTTCAAGGTCTCTTTTGGTCATATAGATCCTCTGGTTTTCCTGTTTGAATGGTTTTACACTAGTAATTTTTGGGGCCCTTTATAGCTTGCTGTTCAGTGTGAGCCAAGGCTCCGTGTTGAAGGCTGTACTTTGACCTATAATGGTTTACTTTTATAAATTTTGACTTGGATGGAGAGTTGTCTCATTGGCACTCATACCACATCTTCTTCTATCTATCTAGCCTTTGTTGGTTCTCATTTTAATTGTGATCAGTGTTCCTGATGTAGGTAAATCAAGAAAATCTTCTCACACAAATTTATAAAGGACTAATTCATACTTTATGATATCAGCTTATTTTGGATATCTCAAAAATTGTAAGAATGAAAACAAAACATTCGTACATCAAGATGTCATATGCTGGCTTCCTCCACCAATAAAAACTAGTCTCCATGATATAAATCAGTGCTAAAAATGGCATTAAACACCAACAACCAATCAATCACTTCTTAAAGAATTAAAGAACTATTATAATGCCTTCTTTATTTTGCTGTTGTATTTGGCTGTGACACACGTCTTATTGATGTGTTGTCCATTATTGGTATGAGGTGTGAGCTGAAGGTATACCAGTCTGTTTGTAGATAATACACATCTGTATAATATAGCTGCAATGTAACCACAGTATCTTTAAGAAACATAATTTATTTCAAGTTAAGTTGCTAATATCTAAAGCAGTTATCTCCCTTGTATAAAGATGACCAAGATGTAAGTCAATAAATATATTTGAGATTTCATTTATTTATTTCTGTCATAAGAGATTCACTATATATTTCAAAGTAACAGAAATTTGTATTTTATCTGATTTCAGATGGAAATTAGACTTCATCAAAACTTAATAAAATCATTATTGATTAATTGTTTCTGTCATTCAAGTTGTATTGATCACAAAATATCTTTTAAATGGCAGAGACAGAAAGCAGTTGCAAGTGAAATTTTACATCTAATTTTTTCCATAACTTTTTAGCATCAGGCCAGAAAACATTTGACATCACATACAACATGTACAAAATGTGATTGTTTTCCAAATGTTATTAGGTCAACCAGTTGAACAAATTGAGGTCAGAAATCCAAGAACCCAAAATATATTTCCTCCTGAGCTTAATAGTGAAATACATTATGTACATATATCAATGGTTTAGGCTTATTTGAAGTCATTTGAAATTTAAGATACTCTATTTTTAGTAAAACCATAAAAGAATGTTGAATATAAATTCCATAGTACCTGCAAACATGACAGTCTTCATATATAAAAGAAAATTAATTAATATCAAAACAAAATTTAAATGACCAGACATGATTTTTATAATCAAAGATTTCAATATTTGCTGTTTAAATAAATGTCTAGAAAAGATAATATTTTCTTTTAAGAACTTGTGAAAATTTAAACGACAACGTTTATTGAAGTGTAATCTGTCACAGTAAATTTAATTTGGTCAATATTTATATAAATTGAATACTTCTAAACAAGGAAAATAGAAATATCTCATCGATTTTCTGAAGGAGATCTACCCCTGGCTAACAGATTAGGAGACATATTTGTCGTATTGTAGAATAATTATATGGCTACTTTCATTTTCAAGAAAGGTATGTATAAGACTGATGAAAATTAGGAAAATACAGATTTCTTTTTTTATTCTGATTGAGTTTTCATTATTTTAAGAAAATTCAGAAATTTAAAAGACAACATTTACTATTTATATTCCTGCCAAGGCAAGCCAGAAACAGCCTATCTGTCACTACAAAAAGAAAAAAATGTCTGTCATTCCTTGCCGACTTGTTGGTAACAGTCTATCTGACAATTCAAAAATGCCTGTCTGTCAAGGCTTGTCATTTACGACTTGTCTGTTACTACGGCAAAAAGGTCTGTCAGTCCATGCAAACTTGTTGGAAACAGCCTATCTGTCCATACAAAAAATGCCTGTCTGTCAAGGCATGTCACACACAGCCTATCTGTCACTTCAAAAAAATGCCTGTCTGTCAAGGCATGTCACACACAGCCTATCTGTCACTTCAAAAAAATGGCTGTCTGTCAAGGCATGGCACACACAGCCTATATATCATTTCAAAAAATGCCTGTCTGTCAAGGCATGTCACACACAGCCTATCTGTCACTTCAACAAAATGCCTGTCTGTCAAGGCAAGTCACACAAAGCCTATCTGTCACTTCAAAAAAATGCCTGTCTGTCAAGGCATGCCACACACAGCCTATCTGTCGCTTCAACAAAATGCCTGTCTGTCAAGGCATGTCACACAAAGCCTATCTGTCACTTCAAAAAAATGTCTGTCTGTCAAGGCATGTCACACAAAGCCTATCTGTCACTTCAAAAAAATGTCTGTCTGTCAAGGCATGTCACACAAAGCCTATCTGTCGCTTCAAAAAAAATGTCTGTCTGTCAAGGCATGTCACACAAAGCCTATCTGTCGCTTCAAAAAAATGTCTGTCTGTCAAGGCATGTCACACACAGCCTATCTATCACTACAAAAATGCCTGTCTGTCAAGGCATGTCACACACAGCCTATCTAATGAGACTTGTCAGAATCAGCCCATCTGTCACAAACATTGCCTATAATTGCTAACATCCACTTCATTTGAACTTTGCTGGATAGTTGTCTCATTAACAATCATACCACATCTCCTTTTTTTCATCTTTATTTGTGTCTGCATATATACTCGCATTCAGTTCATCTTTTAATATTATAGAAAAAACTTAAAATGTAATATTCCAGCTACTTATTCTTACAGCCATAGGAGGGATTAAAATATTTTAAACTTAAGCTTTCTCAAAGTTTTAAATTCCACAAACTAATGTTTTTACGGGTTAATCACAAAATTATAATAAAATAAATCATTTGAGAAATTTCATTATGACAGATTATTCAAATGTGTTAATTTTTATTTATTTAACCGGAATATGAATATTTAAGTTCAATGAAGTTCGTATCAGACAGTGTGTATCGCTTACGGAACAGTGAGCATCTGTGACCTGGGTCAGGTGTAATGTCACAGAATTTTAATTTCTTTACACTAATTCATTTCACACTGCATTAGATTTTGAAATAAAGGAATACTATGTTGACAAATTCTCATTATTTTAACTAAATCGGTTACGTGTTGTGGTTCTCACTACCTGGATTTGAACTTTTAATCTTTAAGTTGATCAAGTTTTCTGTTATTTATTATGTCTATATAGGAAGGTGATTTGTTTACTTTCTTTGGTAAACTTTGTTTATCAATTATATTAACACTTAATGAGTTAAGGAAGGAGTATATTTGTTTACTGAATGATAAGGTTCAGTCTATACTTCTGTAATTGAATTTAGATATTGGGTCTTACCCAACTTATATACTTTGAAAGGTAACTCCTATAGATGAACACGGGATTTTAATGTTTCAAAAGTTTTCATGGTCAGTATAAATTTACATTTTTAATTGATACTCATAATACAAATTCAAATTTTTACTATACAGCTATAAATATTTGAGTGATCCTTGTATTTTATATGCATATTTTTTTATAGTTACTGAATCATAATATTTAAGTGCCAGTCTTTGTATTAGAATCAGGCAATTTAGGAAAAATTCAAAAACATTGGCCGAAAAAAACCCACCGACCTAACCATCCTATTTTGAAGTTTACCCTCATCCTGAGTTAGAAATGGTAGGTCTTTTGTTTCTGCATATCTGGTAATTCAAGAAATCTCTAGATAACTTTTGGTAAGAATGATAGCAAATTACGGAGTTAGCCCCCTTAAATTGTTAATTTCTAGTGCATTTAAACCAAATTATATCTTGAATTACCAGAACAGGAAAAGAAGACAAATGTTATATTCTTGCACCATTTTACAATTTGAACATAAATTAATATCAACTGAGTGGGTTTTTGTTTGTCATGTTTTCACCACTGCCTGATTCTTAGGCAGATTGGCACTTGTAATTAAAAAATGATTCAGAGGTGATTAGCAATAACACCAATAAGACAGCAAAATGTCAAAATCAATTTTTATCATCTGGATATCATTTTTAGTCTTTGTTTATAATGAAAAAGGCTAGGAAGTTATCAATTTGAATAATCTCATATAGCAAGAAATGGACTTTGACACTCATCCTTAATAGGGATTGACACTCTTTATGTACAACTCCTACACTGGTGATACTAATTTCTATTGAACTATTTTTGCTCCATAATGAAGCTGTAACCTAAACCTTGTATTTGATTCCTGGGACAGGTCACCTTCCTATAGGTGGGGTATTACAAAAATGTTAATTATACCAACACATAACTGTCACAATGTCCTCCCATAAAACTCTGATAACATGTATTGTAGTTTATGGTGACGACCGATATAAAATGTTGAAAAAATTAATATTGGATATGATGTCTGTATACAGTTAGAATGGTTTAATGGTTTATATTGGTGACTTTATATTCCCTCTGTTGTAATTATTTCCCTTAATTAAATTATAGAAATGAATAACATATAATATATTGCTCACTATACCTGGGTCAAACAGCTAGCCTAACAGCATGCAATATGTCTAGAGGTCAAGGTATTTACGTCATCAATAGACAAATGTCTATACAAGAGTAAAAGATGTAAAATTGAACCAGTCTAGACAAGGACAAGTGGTGTTTGAATGTAATTGTGAATACAGAATACCATTTTTTTATATTTTTCTTTTAAAGTTACTTCCCTTTGCAAAATTTTGTAAGAGTTATCTATCTTGGAATAAGGCATCTCAGTAGAATCACTACAAATTTGTTCATTTGTTTATCTTTGCTCCAGGCACATGCATCTCTTGTTTCAGCTTTCATTTGGTTTTGGCATGTGAACTGTAGATAGAGACTTATAAAGAGTGGAAATTTTTAACCTTCTGTTTTGGTTTTGGCATTTAGTGTGCTAATGTTGAACCCCCCGTTTTTGGTGGGGTTCCTGTTGCTCAGTCTTTATTGTGTTTTGTGAACTGATGTCTATTTGTTGTTTTTTGTTTTATTGTCCAGGCATTGTCAGTTTGTTTTCGACTTGCAAGTTTGAATATCCCTCTGGTATCTTTCACCTCTCTTTTGATGACCTCTATTTGTAAGTTTGTTGTAATTCTGCACTTTTGGGTTGCTGTCTTAACTTAATATTTATCCTACATCTTTTATACATCTTATTTTATTCCTTTGATTTGTCTGTTAACTAATTACTGCTGGGTTTTTACAGTAATTAATTTTTTATGTAAATTTGTTTACAACTTTTCAATCAAGAATGACTGTGATTTCCTTGACCTGTCAAGATTTTGAAATGTTTACCACACAGTCTTGGTAGTGACAAGTAAATAATAATATATGTTTTATGTGTTATGAGTCAACTTAAAACTTCACTAATGTCATATTAGTCTTTTTTTTTAAATATTTTTTGTAGTTGTTGATTTTTCATATAAATATTGCATTATTATTCAATTTAAAACACACCATTTTGTTAGTGTTTTCGTACCACAATATGACATAGTCTGAAACTATTTATTCTGATGTTTGATGGCCTCTTTTTGGGTGTGGGTCCCACTACAATTAAGATAACTGGTCTCTTCTCTGTTGATATCTAAAGAAAGGGATTGTAGAACTTAATTCAATTCCAACTTCACTTGTGAATGAAAGGGGATTTGAGTTAAACTTCAAAGGAACAACAACACAAAATGAATCTCCCTCTTCACCCCCCTCCCCTTCAGTTAGGTATTTGTCATATTTTACCATTTTGAAGACCATGCAATTATCGAGCGTTTGTTGTTATAATTTTAACAGTAATCTATATATATTTGTTATTGCCTCATATCTTGTATTCAGAAACCCTATTTATTGTCGATTCATATTAATTGTAGTTGATTTGAATATTTAATATGAATTTCTGTTTTAAGTGACAATAGTTTGAAGGCTTAATATTTGTTTTGTGACTACCAGTATTGACACATTGAGGTCAACATGGTAAAACAAATTAATTTAAAGATGTTTATTTGTTATTCAATATTTCAATACAATTATTGTCAATTTGATAACGGCTCCTGAATAATTACTCAGTTTGTTTATCATTTAATTTCATAGGTTTTTTACTTAAGACTTCTAAAAAATGTTGGTATTTTTCTTCAAATAATGAAAATTGGACATAATGAGCAACTTAGGATGTGGCTATACTATAGGTCCTTGTCATCTAAATGTTAAAGAGACCTAATGATGTGGATATAAACAAATATAGGTCACCATGCAGCCTTCAACAATGAGCAAAACTCATACAGTATAGGAAGATTATGAAAAGGCCAACTAATGTGAAAAAATGAAACCCCCAACACCCCTTTCATTATTATGGATTAAAATGAGAAATTTCACAAATTGATATTAAAATAAACTTGTATTACAACTAATAATAGATGTATTTAAATTAAAAATAAATAATAAGTTGGACATTTACCCTGGATAAGTCCTTCTATTACTAATGTATATTTCTATTGTTATATAGTATTAAAAGGGTGTAGCTCTGTTTCTATTGCTTATTTCAACATTTAGTTTTCTACAATAGATGGAATTTTTAAGAAACCTGATAGATTATGAAATATAGACATTTGTCATTTTATGACATGTTGAGAAAATTGAACTTAAAATTTTCTTCAGAATTGACACTTTTAAAAAACGAATAAAGCTTTTATGTTTGTGTAAAATTCCACTGAAATAAAAGAGGTTTTGCCTATTATTAAATTTACTTACTATTTATGGAAGGATGAATAAATAAGTCAAATTTGAAAAAAAAATACTTTTATTGGCTGTCAATGGTTTAGATGTGTTGATCATTTGTCTTGTTATTTAAAACTTGAACTTGCAGGGAGTTGTGAGCTATTGCTCCCTTTTGAATTTCTCTTTTAAACTTTGAGATGAAAAACAGCAATAAAAGAACTGTTTCCTTTGTTTTGGTTTTGTGAATTACATGAAATGGTATAGTCATTGTTATAGAATAGATGAGACCAAAATGATATTTGTAATTTTAAATTTACACTTTATATTTTATAGGTTACTAGAGAACTGAGGCAACATGGGGCAGAACCAAAGCTCTCGTTCTATACCAACAACACCAAAAGGTCCTCCAGCAAGACCCAGTACACAACCAAGTGCTCGACCACTCAGTCAGTTGGGACCACAGGGACCAAGTTATGTAAATCCTGAAAATAAAGTCTTGCCAATAGTGCTTCCTCCTTCTGCCAAATCATTATTGAGACCAGTGTCTCAGGAATTAAGTGATTTTCATCCTGAATACAAAGAAATCTTCCGTTCGGAAAGTTTAGAAGATGATAATGGAAATATTACTAATGGGGAAGTTGTTCATGATGGTTCAAAACACGGTTCAAATAGACAGGATGTGAATGGGAATTTATCTCCAAGGTCAAATGGACATATACCCAATGATAATAGAAATGGAGATTTGAACCGACGACCTGTATCAATGTACACTAATGGTGGTGGTGGTGGTAATAATAATACCAATGTCAAAGGTCATCGTAGACAGCTCTCTGCTTCGTCTGTTCTTTACTCCAAAGAGAATACAATTATAGAACATCCAGATGAACCTAAATATAATGATGACCGACCAAGGAAGGTAACTCTTCCTGCTAAAAGTTCCTTTGATATGCCTTACTCGGAAAACTTAACTTATGCTCAGTTAGCCGAATATCGACGTAATCAAACTCTGGCAGAATTAGAAAGGAAGACAGGAAGGAAGATTGAAGATCTATCCGCATACGCAGAAGATAAACAATCAAACTTTGAAAGAGCGCCATCTACTAGATCAGCCAAAAGTTATCATAGTGCCGGATCTGCTGTCAGTAAGAAGAAAAGTCGAGCACCACCTCCTCCAAATCAACCACCTCCTCCTCCAGGGTCTAAATCAGCCCCAAATACACCCAGAGGTCCACCAGGGTCTAAATCAGCCCCAAGTACACCAAGAGGCAGTAATATGCATACACCACCTGCCAGACCTAATAAGCCACCGCCAATATTGAAATCATATTCAGTTGACAGGGAGCCACCTGCAGATTATGATGATGCTCAACCAAGGAAAAATGTTTCTATTAATAGATCGTCCAGCTCTGCTAGTGGTAGCAGAAAATCATATGCTCCCGCTACATCAGCTCCACCGCCAAACGCACCACCACCCCCACCACCACCTGGAACAGGAATATTACGCAATACTAATAAAAGACTGAACAAATCAATGGTAGAACTACCAATGGCTAATAGTGCTAGTGACTTTATCAAAGTTCGTAGTCCACCAGTTCGTCAAGACAGCTTCAACAAACCAGCCTTACAGACTGAACAGAATAAATTTTTATCACAAATTCAGAAGGCTGCAGAAAATCGTGCCATGAGGCGACAAAACTCAGAACCAGTCATGACTTCAACAACAACTATCAATGGTGATATAGACAATAAAGTGGAAGAGAACTTGATTTTAAGTGCTACTACAAACACCTTGGAAAGTGCCAAAAATGATAATGATCAAGATTTACCACTTTTGGTTAAAACCCCTCCACCAGTGGCGCTGAAACCCAATAGATCTTCATCATCCTCATTTGAGCGGCAAAATTCTGTTACATCTGAATCAAGCACTGCAAATAGTGTTCAGTCATCAAGCAGCAGTGTCGATCAAAATGGTGCAATTCGTCGCCTCAACAGTCTATTGCAACATGATATAAAACTAGCAGCACAATCAAAGGCCACTAAAATTGTTAAACATGCCACACCAGTCAAAGAAAAACCTAAGGATCCAGCACAGGCATTTCGGGAGCAGCTTGCAAAGGCTGCTTATGAACGTGATCATAGGGCAAAGACTGGACCTACTATTGATGAAAAATTAAAAGCTGCTCAGGCAGAGGAAAAAGAAAAAAGTGAAGCTAATATTGTGTTTTATACTGATCAGGTTACTGTAAAACGAAGCGATAGCATTCGTAAACAGAATGAGGAATTTAGAAAAGAGGATACTAAAAAGAGAGAGGCTATTGTACAAGAAGTAACACTGCCACATTCAGAAAAGATAACTAATGTGAAAGTTGAATCTCCAAAAGAAGTTTTTACCATCAGGAAAGATCAAATTGAAAAGCCTTATCTTCCAGTTTTAACAAATGGCAATATGGTAGAACAAAAGGGTGAAATTATACATCATCCACGACAGATGACCCCGGGTTCTGGCATTGGTTCTCAGAAGGACAGTTACCGTAATTCTATTTATGCATCAAAAGACTGGACTCCAGAAGTAGATTTAGATTCAGATGACAATATATCTGACACTGAGGTATTGACGTCAAGTCTCGGCAAATCTAATGGTTTCAAATCATCAGTATTTCCAGCAAAAGTTAATGAAATAAATTATAAAGGAAAGAAACAAAAGGGAAAGGAGAGAAAGTTCAAGAAAAGCATTGAAAACGATGAAAAGAAAAAACATGGCAGCATTAAAAAATTCAAAAACTCTGTTCACAAAAGTGTGTTAAATGCATTTGGTTCTATAAGTAAAGCTTCTGGGAAGGTATTGAAGAAAAATAAATCTGAGGACTTAGAATATGTGAATGATGCACCAATGAACTGGACTTTATCATCATCCTCATCTACACCATCATTCTCTGGCACTCCTGTAGCAAGTCGACCAAATCTAAGTGAGGGACAGTTGTCAAATCGTGCCTATAAATACATGGTTCCAAACGGTTACCAAGATCATGTGTCTCTGAGTAGTGAAAGCTCAGACGAAGAGAGAATTGTTACTAACAAGGTCATGTTTGAATCAAACGGCCATATTGAAAGCAATGAAGATACCGATAATGAGGATGACAAGGATCAGAAATATTTGAAACGTGCTGGTGTGGCATACGTAAGTAAGAGTGGACAAATCGTTGTTTTACCTGAGTATGATAAAGTTCATCCAGGGGAACAGGGACCAGGAGAATTTGATAATCATGCACCAAAACTTAAAAATAAGAAAAAGAAGTTTACTTTCGATAATACTGTTCGTAGGAAAGAGAGAGAACAAATCAGTGAGCAAATCACCATGGATGCTACAGAAAAGGAGAGAAAACGAGAGGAAGAAAGGCGCAGGGAAATGGAGGCAGATACTGATATTAAACGGACACGTGAGTTAGAAGCTCGTGAACGCTTGCAGCGATTAGAAATGCAGGCTCAGCTACATCAGCAGTTATTACAACAACAACAGCAGTATGGGATGCTGTCAGCGCCACCTCTGCCTCCACCTAATGGATTCCAACAGGGCTTTAATCCAGTGGAATTTTCTCAGTTCTTTGCCCAGCAATCTGGGTACGGTTTACCATATGGAACTCCGACAGGGTTTGGAGCTCCAATGTACAATAACAATGTGCCAACCATGTCTTATGATCTGAGTGAATATATGCGAATGATGGGTGTTCAGAACTCAACACCTACATCAACTTCACAGCAATTAAATGCTTATATGTTACATGGGGGACTAAACTGGCCACAAACAAGTCTACTGTCATATCCAAACAAACAACAAGATGATTCTAAGCGTAATCAGGTGTATCAAAATTGGACTGGACCTAAGAAACAAATCGTTAAATCTAATTCTCAAGGAGACAGTGGTGCTAGTACTTCTAAAAAGTCATCTTTTTACTCGGCTGATGAATCTGACAGTTCGGCAGGACTGTCGCCACAACGAACTGATGCTTCAATGAGTGCTTCCAAGAACAATGTTAATGGTGACACAAATGATAATTATGGATATAAGTCTAATATATCTGTAACGACTGTCTACACACCAGGATTTACCAAAAGTGCTGCTTCAGATACTGGGTAAGGTTTGTTTATTTTTGTCTTTCATAGCACTTGTTATGATTTGGGTCAGTCAGGGTACTCGGTCATTATCTATTAATATCGAGATTTTGGTTAAATGTCAAGACATGTCAAAGCAATACAAATTTACACATGGAAGTAGCCATTGAAGGACTTCAACAATGCATCAACACTCATATTAAAGGATGAGCATTAATTGTTCAGACGGTATTGCTTTTATCTAGTTTCAAATTCAAACCTGGATATTTTTGCAGGTAATGAGTTTGACGATTTCAATGCATAAACATTTGTGAGGCGGTTAAATTTTGCACATCAAACGATAAGTTAGGCCCTCACTTCAATAGTGTTACTGTCTACAATCTGTTGGTTGGGTTTTGGCTGAACACTGAATAGATTGATTATCTATAATAAATGTCCTGCACTATAAAGACAGAATTTTATTTCAATAGAATCATTAAAGGATAGGAATGGGGTTTAATAAAGTTTTATTAAGAGCCATTGAATGACTTGAAACATAACAGAAACAATGTATGTTAAAAAGGAGATGTTGGGTAAACGTCTATGAGACAGAAGCACAACAACAGAGAAAAGCAAAAACATGTAATAATTTATCTATCAAATATTTAACGACAACATCATTTTATTATCAATATGATGCCATTCAGTAGTTTGAAATATAGTTTGAGAAATTTTAGCAGGAATTATAAGTTCACATGATGTAATCACTAGTTTTAATACGACACTCTTCTGAATTATAAACAAAGCAATGTTCTTGTTCCAACAAAACATGGGATACATGTACGTGATGTCACAATGAAACTTGCAACTTTAGCTGTATTTTGAACGATACTTGAGATCAAAATGGGTATTTTTGTTGGAGTTGCTAGCTAGGAAAATTTGATAAATTCTTAAATGTCTTTAAATAGGTATGTCTGTTTATATTTTTGTCCTTTTTAATCAGGAAGCAGTTTGTTTACTGGAACATTGTTGCTTCATCAAATCAGAATGGCTGCCTTTCAAACATGTCTTATAGGTCCTCTTTGAACGTGAATAATTCTAAATGTTCATATTAGAATTGAAATTATCTTTCCATGTCATATAAAAATAAGAAGATGTGGTATGATTGCCAATAAGACAACTCTCCACCAGAGACCAAATGACATAAAAGTTAACAACTATAGCTAGATCACCGTACGGCATACTCTTTTCTCATTTTAATATGGGTCTGTAAGTACAGGCATTATATTGGTCAATATTTTATACCCTATTAATGCTTGGTGTAAGGATTTTGACAAATATCATGCCTTCCCACGTTAAAATGACCATAGAGCATGACAATAAAGAATTATTTCTTAAATGAAGCATGGAGTTTGACGGTAAAGATCTTAATTTGACCAAATGTTATTAAAAGAAAATGTTGCCAATTCAATTGTTTTTTGGCTTTTTATTCTAAGTGAAACAATTTTGCCGTGAGAATTCATACCAATGATGCATGTTAAGAAGTTTAAAATAATAACTGCTTTTATTTAACTGTTATAATATATGTGGGACTGGTATTTATACAACAAAAGATTTTGGCTTAAGAATATTTCAAGATAAAGTATGTGGTTGTTGAAATGACTTCTTTATTTTGAGTTAGGACTTAAAAGTACAAATTATGAATACATACAAATTTTAATAAAGTCAGTCAAAAACCAATAACTATAGTGTATTTTAGGCAGACTAAAATATAAATGGGAATCAGTAAATTGAACTTCATTAAAAATCCAGGATATGAAGTAAGGGTATGCTGTGACTTAAATGTTAAAGTGGTTGCTTTAAAAATGGTACCCTTCAACTCATTTTACAATCTCTTTAATGGATAAATGTAGTCAGTATTTTTAGCTGATTATTTAAGAATTGAATGCTTCTTTTTGTAAATTCATTGGGGTGTAAAAGCGTTGACCGAAGTACATTTTGTATGAAGCGCGGAAGCGCTTCATTCTAAAAATGTACGCACGGTCAACGCTTTTACAACCCTATGAAATTACTAAAAGAAGCATTCAATACTTATAATTACATTTTTCGCTATGATCATGAAAAGACGATTACTATCAAGTTTTTCTTTTATTTACCTGTGCACTTTATTGTGGAAACGTGTGTCATCATGTATGTTTCAATTCATGCAATTAATTTTGAAATGAAGAATGACGAGAGATTTGCTGTTAGCCAATCAAAATAACGTATAATAATGAAACATACATCTAATGTAATTATTATGTATTAAAGGAGATGTGGGCTGAACACCAAAGAGACAACAACCCAATGACTCAAATTACCAAAATGCTTAAATTAGAAGCTATTAAGTTATAACCTGAAGCACCAATGGCACTGAAAAGAGATGATAAAATTCAGTCTTGTTTATTGGAACCTGTGTCTGTTACAGCCATTTCAATAACTCATTTCTGGAATCATAAATTTTACTCTTAAAATTATAATTTGAAGCTGGTTATTTCCTTTGCCCTGCAGAAAAACTGCTACATGGCATAATGAAGCTCAATGAAGAGGCAACAATTAATTATTTATAGATTATTACATGGCATTTTTATACTACGGCAAAAAAAATTTTGTGGTCGTATATTGGTATGACGTTGGCGTCGTCGTCGTCGTCCGAAGACACATTAGTTTTCGCACTCTTAACTTTAGTTTAAGTGAATGGATCTCAATGAAATTTTACCATAAGGTTCAATACCACAAAAGGAAGGTGCGGATTGATTTTGGGGGTTATGGTACCAACAGTTAAGGAAAAAGGGGCCAAAAATAAGCATTTTTGTAACTTCCAGACATAACTTGTGTGTAAGTATATGGATCTCTCTGACATTGTACCACAAGGTTCCATATCACAAAGGGAATGCTGGGATTGATTTTGGGGGTAATTGCCTCCACATTTTAGGAATTAGGGGCCAAAAAGGGGCAAAAAACAAGCATTTTTCTAGTTTCATGACAATAACTTGTGTGTAAGTCTATGGATCTCTCTGACATTGTATCACAAGGTTCCATATCACTAAGGGAATGCTGGGATTGATTTTGGGGGTAATTGTCTCCAAATTTTAGGAATTAGGGGCCAAAAAGGGGCAAAAAACAAGCATTTTTTCTAGTTTCATGACAATAACTTGTGTGTAAGTGTATGGATCTTTATGAAATTGTACTACAAGGTTCCATATCACAAAGGGAAAGCTGGAATTGAGTTTGGGGGTAATTGCCCAAAAAGTTTAGGAATAAGGGGCCAAAAAGGGGCCAAAAATAAGCATTTTTCTAGTTTCCAGACAATAACTTGTGTTCAAGTGTATGGATCTCTCTGAAATTGTACTGCAAGGTACCATACCACAAAGGGAAGGCTGGGATTGATTTTGGGGGTAATTCCCTCAAAATTTTAGTAATTAGGGGCCATAAAAGGGCAAACAAACAAGCATTTTTCTAGTTCCAGGACAATAACTTGTGTGTAAGTGTATGGATCTTTATGAAATTGTACTGCAAGGTTCCATATCACAAAGGGAAAGCTGGGTTTGTGATTGGGGGTAATTGCCCTAAACGTTTAGGAATTTGGGGCCAAAAAACAAGCATTTTTCTAGTTTCCAGACAATAACTTGTGTTCAAGTGTATGGATCTCTCTGAAATTGTACTGCAAGGTACCATACAACAAAGGGAAGGCTGGGATTGAGTTTGGGGGTGATGAATCATAAGGGGGTTCAAAAAATTTGGGGGGGGGGGATTTTTGTTTCTTTTTTTTTCTTTAAAATTTTCCATTTTAAATTGGTTATTTCTGATTTATATATAAAAGCAAATAATAATGATATGGTTTGAATAGGTAAATTAAAAATTTTTAAGTTCTTAAATCATTTTCATTCTGTGTCGGAAACCTATGCTGTGTCAAATATTTAATTACAATCCAAATTCAGTGCTGAATCAAGCTTGAATGTTGTGTTCATACTTGCCCCAAATGTTCAGGGTTTCGACCTCTGCGGTCGTATCAAGCTGCGCCCCAGCGGAGCATTTTATTCATATTGGCCCTGGTATCAGCCCTAAACTATTATATCAAACCAGAGGGCTTTAGCCCAAGGGCTGATACCAGGGCCAATATGGAAAATGACATATAATAATCTATTTATCACATATTTTCAAGCTGGAGAAAAAAGAAAGCATTTATCAAATTATGTTTTATTTTCAACAAAAAATTAAAAAAAATTTGAAGAAAAAAATAAAAAAAATGTATCAAAGTGAGTTAAAAAAATTCATATCACAGTGAGTAAACAAAGTTTTGGGAAAAGTTTAACAAATGATTAACAATAAACATTATTTCTCAAAGTTATAAATATTACTTGTTACATTTCCAATGTTTGTGTGAGGAAAAATACACCTTATCGCTATTTGTCCGCCAATACTGGACATCGCAAAGGTTCCCATAAAATTTTGACGTCACAATAGAAAATATCTGACGCCACAATGGAAAAGTGATTGTTATATGACGTCAAAAATTCAACCAGCGCAGATTCTCTGGTCAAGGGGAACAGATCTCCAAATAGCGATAAGGTGAATAGAAATAGGAACCTGGACCTATTTCCACTGTTTTTTTTTCTGCTACAGTAGGGCCAATTTGAAAAATGAGATGTAATAGTCAATTTATCACATATTTTTAAGCTGGAGAGAAAAAGAAAGCATATATCAAATTATGTTTTAAAATTTTCAACAAGAAACTTCTCCTAATCATCTGCTTCTAATGCTTTCTTGTTTACAAATAGTTTTTGATTGACAGGTTACCGGAAGTCAAATTCGGGGGCACGATATGGATTTTCGAGGGCTAATATTGATATTGGCCCCGAGGGCGAATAACCAACCTTGACTTCCAGCTATTATTGGCCATGCAAAAACGTACATATTAGTACAAAATGTGTGATAATAATGGTTATTTGCCTTCCAACATAATTGTAAACAAACTCTATTATAAAAATAGAAATGTTTGTAAATTAAAGTAACACTTTGTTTATTCTTTACTTCTACATTAACTATTGCTCTGCACTGCAGTGAAGCAGTATTTATACTAGTATACTCCCCAACAAAGGTAATAATTCATAATCAGTTTTTATTTTAAATTAAGATTCCATTTTTTAGAATGAGTTTCAAGATAGTCCTGTAAAATATTAAAGCTTGAATTTTTAAATTTCATGTATTCTTAGTCAAAACATTTACTAAATTTTATCATCGGTATAAGGACATCATTCGTAAATATAGCTCAACATGCAGACTTCTTATACGTTCAGGTATTTCACATCCAATTTTTTATGGAAATATTCTTTATAAAGCACAAAAATGTCAGTATTCACCTCTGAAGCTAACAAAACCTTTAAATAGACTTATTAAGAAGGGATATAGTTACGATACTGTTGTCAGGTCATTAAAGATTGCATATTTTGGCATTAATATTGATTCACTTATAGGGTCTTTGCATCGGCACTAAACACATTTATTTAAAAACCAGTTGTTGGCATGACACGGGTTATGTTCTTCTCATATATGTTATGATGGTATGATACTAAACCCCTAACGGGAAGGATTGTGCCTGATATTCATATGATGAAGACATAATCTTTCAATCAGTTTAATTGAAGTCTGGAGCTGGCATGTCAGTTAACTGCTAGTAGTCTGTTGTTATTTATGTATTATTGTCATTTTGTTTATTTTCTTTGGTTACATCTTCTGACATCAGACTCGGACTTCTCTTGAACTGAATTTTAATGTGCGTATTGTTATGCGTTTACTTTTCTACATTGGCTAGAGGTATAGGGGGAGGGTTGAGATCTCATAAACATGTTTAACCCTGCCGCATTTTTGCGCCTGTCCCAAGTCAGGAGCCTCTAGCCTTTGTCAGTCTTGTATTATTTTTAATTTTAGTTTCTTGTGTACAATTTGGAGTTTAGTATGGCGTTCATTATCACTGAACTAGTAAATATATTTGTTTAGGGGCCAGCTGAAGGACGCCTCCGGGTGTTGGAATTTCTCGCTGCATTGAAGACCTGTTGGTGACCTTCTGCTGTTGTCTGTTCTATGGTCGGGTTGTTGTCTCTTTGACACATTCCCCATTTCCATTCTCAATTTTATTGTATTTCTCTTTTCAGTTCTGTGATAAGTGACAACAGTGCTGATCGATGAAACTGACAATTAATAGTACAGGAAAATAATCAGTAAATGGCCTTGACCTACTGTGTTGGTACAGACCAAGAAGATCAAGAACTTAAGTTGAATTCAAGGAAGAGTTGTGACACAAAATAAGAATTTCACATGTTAATTCTACAAGTAAAAGGTGCTCAGAATGTTGACAATATATGTTCATGGTTGTGATCAATAGTTGTATATTTGTTTATTTTTGTAATATTTTATTGTTAAAATGGTAATGTTAGTTTTAGCTGTCTGAACAATATCTGAGTTCCCTGTCATCTTGGTCGGTTGAATGGTCAATATTGAAACCTTAAAGGCCTTGTTTCAGATGTCCTGGCCGATGCCAAAACCAGCATGACCTTCTCCTAGTTTCTGATATATGCCAGTATAATAACTTTGTGGCCTTCTTTCAATAATAAGACGCCCATGTTGAACCAAGCCAAACATCTGTTTTGGCTAACTTGCCTATGCCAGAAAGCCTAAGTTTTGTTGTATACAATACCTTGATCTTGTGAAAGTTTATTTGTCAATACTTTCTTGTCTAGTCATTTTCTATGCAGTTCAGTTATATTAGTCTTTTGATACACTGAATTTCCACAAGAAAGTTGAGGTAACCCCGGAGCCAAGTGCCTTAACCTGGTCTTCAGGACAAAAGAACAGAGACGATGACCTTTGGGGATGTACCTTGCCATAGTACCCCTGTCCTTCAAACTTATTTGTTGCCCTTTAAACTTTGATGCTAGTGTACAATTGAATATCATGAATATACCTTCTATTTGTATTTTTCTAGATTTGATTTATTGAATATCTTGCTGCAATATTTAACAACCTCCAGTTGTTTATGTTCACATGTCACTTAGGGTTCAGTATAGACAAGATTCCCAGGTCACTCAAGGTTAAACAAAGACAGGTTCACATGTCACATTGGGTTCAGTAACGACATCCCCTGGTCCATTATAGACAGGTTCCACAAAAATCAGGATTCAGTGTAGACTGGTTCCCAGGTCACTGAGGGTTCAGTACTGTGGTTTCCAAGTTACTCAGATTCAGTATAGATGTGTAATCAGGTCATACAGGGTTTAGTACAGGCAGGTTCCCAGGTTACTCAGGGTCCAATATAGACAGGTTCCCAGGTTACTCAGGGTCCAATATAGACAGGTCCCCTGGGGTCTCGGTCATAAAACTTAAATTTCTGAGTCTGAGTATGATAATCATGCTCAAATTTTTTATGACCCCAAGGCCAGGTTTCTCAGGGTTCCATGAAGTTTGTTTGTTAATATTGTTGGTATTGATATGTTGCTTCAGAACTGAAGAAGTTGTACAGATTTGCTTACAAATGTTAAGAATGATTTGAGCTTGATTAAACATTCAAAATAACTAAACTGTTTGAAATTGCATTTTTAAACCTTCAATTCAAAATAAACTTTGTTTTTAGATAAAAAAAAAAACCTTTTAAAATAGTTAGTAATGATCTTATGTAAAACATTTCTGACCCATTTTATTTTATTGTGTTCTCTTACATCGAGGTAGCAAACCGGAACATATCTCATAATTAGTAAAACTTATCATGTACTGTTAGACAAATACTATGCAAAATAGTCCTAATTTATGGATTGTGTGTTGGATATTTCCTTAAAAGTTTATATTAGAATACTTTATATCTGAAATACTATCAAATCATATTGAATACTTTATCACCTATCGGTAACTTGTGAAATAACAAAAACATGTAATAATTTCATAATTTTGTTCAAAAAAGTAAAATTGTATAAATCCATGAAATTAATGTATGATTTATTGTTTAAAAGAAAATAATAAAATTTTAAACTTTTGATTATTAATAAGAAGGAAGTTTTTTTCCTAAATTTCTCTCTCAATTTTATTTCGTAGAGAGAGAGAGATAAAACAATATAAAGTTGAAAATATGCTATCATAGATAAGTAGAAATTTTTAAACACATTAGACCTTAATTATAAGAATCACAATCAGTATTCCAGATTTAAAAAAAAAATATGACTGATAGTTGAAGTAAGTTGAAATCATATAAAACATTTATTCTGAGTTATACTTAAGCTGTATCTATATAATGTTTGGTTGCAAAGTAATAAATGTTGAGTGAATACAACTAACAAGAATTCCATCTTATATGATCTGAATTCTAATAAGCAGCATCAATTTATCAAAACTGCATGTCAATTCTTTTTATAATCATCAAATCTTGTCATATAATGGATTACCTGCTATTTTTATCTGGTAAATATTATGAATTATGTTCAATTATTAAAGAGTCATCAATTGTGGAATTATTAAAAAAAAATGGCAGTTGATTGATAACAGTTATATCTTCATGTCTTTAGTCAGTATAAATACTATTTAAATTTGTAGTGAGAATGTTCATGTAATATTTACCATTTATATTTTCACCACAAAATTTAGAATATTTTGGTCCCCTCTCATGATGAGCTTATGGGTCATGAGCTACAAAATTTTGGTGTGAACCAGTTGAACCTGCACAAGGAACAAACCCTTTTTCAGGTACTTTACTGCAGTTTTATTTAATCTGCAATAAATGCAATTGTCTGGCTGATCTAAAATATTTTAGGGGTTAGTGTGATACCAAAGTATTTCTGTCAGCAAAATAGTTTTTAACATTTAAAAAAAAATGTGAAAATTTGTCCTTTCACATTAAAGTATATTATCAATTACTTTTTTTACAAATGGACATTAAGCAAAAAATAAACACACAATCTATTACACTTACCAAACAGTAAATCTTCAAAAGTGCTATTTTAAAATATTATGAAACTCATTAAAAAAACTAAGTAAAGTATGTTATATGATTTTTGTATGGCCAGTAAATGTAGTCCACCATTATTTATAGACACATACTGTACTGTCTCTTATTACACTAACTTTCGTTGTCTTTATACTTTTCAGAATCTCAAAACTTCTGTGATAGGCTATGTGAAAAGGGAAATAATCCTAGATCTGATTTTCAATGTATGTCATATGGGAGATAACTCTATTTTGGTTGTGAAAATTTTATTTATGTATATTTTTTTTTATGTTGATATCTTTCAAAAATATATTTTTGTTATCATATGATTTATGTAATAAGCACATACATTTTTTTTATTTTTGTATGTTTCCTCATTAATCCATTTATCATGAAAATTTAAAGTGAATTGAATAAACTAGTCAGGAATCAGTTCATCTAATTACACGTGTGATTTTAAACCTAAATTAGTTGTGATTCTGTGGAAGCAGTATAATTCAACACAATGCTTTGTTATTGAAAAGTGTAATGTTTTTCAATAAGTTATCTATTTATATCAGGTTTTAGGAAGTTGATTTAATTTGTTCCACAGAAACACAACTGATTTCCCTTTTTTTCTGACATGATCTTTATAGGTCTGTAAACATTAACACTAACTTCCTTACATTGAATAATCATTGATACAACTTTACTGTAGACTTATTGGAAGTTTACTATTGAATGTTTTATAATGATAAGTTGATGGTCTATGATTTCATACACTGCATGTCCTATCACATTTTTTTTAAACAGTTACTTCCTTCAGAAGGACAAAAACAATCAGACCCAATTAGATGTTTACTTCAATTGTAATTTACTCTTTTGTTAATCATTTTAAATGCTATTAATAGTTTCAATTTATTTTACTAAAATAGTAAACAAGCAATTAATTTTTGTATACAGATCATGCAGATAATGGGGTACCAGTAATTGTATGTAAAACCTAGACTGTTGCCTTTTCATAGGAACCTTTCATATTAAACATGCATGTGAAATAATTCAAAAATTTTTGAAACTATTTTTACAAAAATTAAGCACATTTAAGCACAGTTTGAAAATTGAACAAAAAATGTTATAAGTTTTTACTTATAGCACTTTGCAATAAAGGCTATTGTGTCCATTAAAAACTAGCATTTATCTGATGGGAAAAGGAGGTTATGGTGTATAATTTCATGACGCAAAGTCCAAACTGTTTCATTTGGATTGCAGTATAATGTGAATAATACACTCATACAGTGCACATGTTTGAAATCAACAAACCTTAATTGGGGACATTCCTACACAGATTCATCTTTAGTTATCGTTAAAAAATTGTGACACGAAAGATTGATTCATCTAAACATCAACATTCAAATAATAATCAAATATTCACCATTTTCTTTATTTTTTTTATATTTATACACATAAATCTGCATATACAAATATCATTATTTTATTTAAACAATAAAGTGCTGAAATATTGTATGTTAATTTGCCATGAAATATATTTTTACATATCAAAATTTATATTTAGACAAATATTTCATCTTAATAAATGTTGGTGATATAACTAACATTATAGACCATTATTTATTTTCACCATTGTCATTTTTTTTTTCACTAGATATATTTTTTATTTTTCTCTGTTATCTTAAGAACTAAATGGAGATGTTTTATTTGTTCCTTCTATATTTCCCTTTAACCAAGTGTGCATGTTGTGTAATGGAGACAATTACACACTATTCAACCAATAATTATTACATTCAAGTAAGTGCAAATGAATTGACATTCAATGTATTTCTCTGATTCTAAATTACAAATTTTCATATATAACTTTGTTTCTGTATACAAAAGTAGGACAGTTAGAAGTGTTACTTTTCTATACATAACAAGATTGTAAGTAGTTCTGTCATTATGATACTCAATTTTATTTTAGAATTGTACCTTTCCTTGAGATGTTATATCTCTTGTCTGAACTGTAATTTGGAGTAAATACTACTTTAATTATTGTTTGTATGATGTCCATGTTTGTTATCATAATAATTGCAATAATATCTACCATCAGGGACATAACTTTATATCATTTCGTTACATTTATACCTAAATATATAAGAATAAAATAATTTTAATTCTATTGAGACTATTTCTTCTTGCATGATGCTGCATTCTTTTTTTGTTCATCTGTCAGTTCTTCCATTCTGTCCTTGTAAACTTTTGTTGTATACTTCTCTTCTTCTTAATTTCACCCAGCGCTACGAAGCAGCAGGGGCAAATAGTGTTTGACGTGTCAGTCCTTCAGTCATTATTATTTCAGGATGCTAATCCAAATACTTTATAACAGATTGAAAAAGGGAGGCGAGAGATACCAAAGGGACATTCAAACTCATAAGTCGAAAATAAACTAACAATGCCATGGCTAAAAAAGAAAAAGACCAACAGACAAACAACAGTACACGAAACACAACATAGAAAATTAAAGGCTGAGCAACACGAACCTCACCAAAAACTGGGGGTGATCTCAGGTGTTCCGGGAGGGTAAGCAGATCCTGCTCCACATGTGGCACCCATCGTGTTGCTCATGTAAATACAAAACTGGTAATAAGCATTCGGTAGGTCACTTTTGTGGATGGGATTTTAGTTACAACATTTGGAACATATCCGCTATCATCTGTGAAACGGATATTCCATAACGGTCAACCAACTCGTGATGGCGTCTGTAAAATTAATTAAGGGATGATTTCAACTTCACCTCTTTGAACTCTTGGTTTTATAGCTTCCTTGTGAGCAGCTACCTTCTTTCAAGGAAATCATGATAGGCGAATGGGAGAAATATACTCCGTATGCAGGCTCTGCTGGAATGTTGCTACATAGAAATGGAAAGTTCACAGTTGAGAAGCTGAAATCATCTCTTTTGTCGTAAAGTTTTGTTTTCCACCGACCCTCATTGTCAATTTCTAGATGTAAGTCAAGATATGAGGCAGACTTAACTGTATCTGTTGTATCCTTAATCTGAAGTTCGATTGGATAGATGCGTTCAACATAGTCACCAAATTTTGAATTATTTAGTGAGAGAACATCATCTATATAGCGGAAAGTAAAGTTAAAGGATACTGCTAACTTCTTATCTTTCTTCCTAAGAAGTTCCTGTATAAAGTCAGCCTCATATGAATAAAGGCACAAGTTGGCAAGAAGAGGGGCACAGTTGGTTCCCATGGAGATGCTGACTGTTTGTTGAAAAACACGTCTTCCAGGCGTAACAAATATATTGTCAATCAAGAAATCTAACTATTTCAGTGGTTGTTGTTGGTTGATGTCTGTGATATGTGTTTTTCGTTGATTATTTTGTTACAAATCAGGCCGTTAATTTTTTCTTTTGAATTGTTTCACATATTTCATGTCAAGGCTTTTTAAAGCCTATTATACGTTATCAGTTTTTATACGACTTTATAATATACGACCGCCAAATTTTTGCGTTCGTATTTATGCTATGGCGATGTCTGCATCGTTGTCCAATACATTTTGGTTTGCAGACAATAACTTGAGTATAAGTATATGGATCTCTATGAAATTTTAGCACAAGGTTCTATACCACAATAGAAAGGTTGGGATTAATTTTGGGATTATTGTTGTAGCTGTTTAGTAGTTAGGGGCCAAACAGGGACCAAAATAAAATGTTTCTTTTTCTTGTTTCAGAACAATAACTTGTGTATAAGTATATGGATCTCTATGAAATTTTACCACAAGGTTCCATACCTGAAAAGGACGATTGGATTGATTTTGGGGTCATGGCCCAAATCGTTAAGGAATTAGGGGCTGAAAAGGGGAAAAAACTAGGATTTCCTGGTTTCTGGACAACAACTTGAGTATAAGTCTATGGATTGCTATTTAATTGTGTCACAAGGTTTTATACCATGAAAGGAAGGTTGGGATTGATTAAAGGGGTTATGACCCTAACGGTTTAGGAAAAAGGTGCCAAAAGCAATACTTTTGAAATGCTTTGTATAAATTGCTTATTTCCTGACCAATTTCAATGGGGTTTAGTTTAAAGTCTTGAATTTTTGGGGTTCTTTCATACGCTGAATCCAACCGATCATTTAGAATTTGGATTTTTGGTCATGTTTTTGAATTGGTCCGTATTAAGGTCTAAAGGGTCCAAATTTAAACTTTGTTTGATTTCATCATAAATTGAATTATTGGTGTTCTTTGATATGCTGAATCTTACCGTGTATTTAGATAACTGAATTTAGGCTCAGTATTCAAGTTGGTCCAGATCTTGGTCTAAAATAAAACTTTGTTTGATTCATCCGAATTGAATTATTGGTGTCCTTTGATATGCCAAATCTTACAGTGTATTAAGATTTTTGATTTTGGTTCCAGTTTTCAAATTAGTTTAGTTTAGTTTAAACATATTTTATTTGCTTCAATATGCAAAAGGGATGAGACACAAGTTAATCAAACTTATGAAGTCCTCTCCCAGGTGAATAATCAAATTAGTTCAAATTGGGGTCCAAAAATAAACTTTGATTTCAACAAAAATTGAATATATGGGGATCTTTGATATGCTGCATCTAACCGCATATTTAGATTTTTAGATTGTGGGTCCCATTATCTAATTGGTCAACAGGGTCAAACATTTCGTCAAAAATTGAATTCTTGGGGTTCTTTGATATGCTGATACCAACCATATATTTAGATTTTGGATATTGGACCATAATAGGTAAAACAATTTAAGTACTTAGACCACGTTCATTCTGTGTCAAAAACTATGCCATATATAATATTTAATCAGATCTGTATTGTACAATTAATACAAATTATAAGTAGAATTCACGTATCAATTTTTCATCATTGCTTTCCGACACACTTACAATATAAGTCTCAGTGTATAATTTCAACTGAAAATATTCGACAGTGAATTTTGTTTATATAGTTAAAAATAGATATAGCATCATATGATTATTTAATTTTAGAGAAGAAATATGTTTGAAATTTTCTGTTCATTATTAGATTATAAAATGGTTAAGTAGAGCTGTTAATCTGTCATCTCATACTGATAAAGGGACAGATAATATTACTTAACAAACAGAAGTTTAAAACAAAAAAACTGAGTCTGTTAATATGGAGAGATGATTATGTCCAGTTTCTGATATTACTACTCCAGGACAGGAATTTTGTTTATTTTAACATTTTTATAACTAATCATGGAAATTGAATTTTAAAATGAATGAAGAAAAATTTGTGATGCATTAATTCCCTTTACATTAGCTAATGTGTGTATTTGTTTGATTATTTTGTAATTCTTTGTTATATTCTAATGTTTTTCATGAGTGCCTCGAAGTAGATTAGTTCTACAGCTAACGGTGTAACCCTCTTTAAATAAAGACTTATTATTACATGTATAATTATTATTATTTTTAAAAAATGGAAATTTTTATTTTTCTTCCTTTAAAAACTACACACAATTTGTATTACATATTTACATTTGTAATTAATTCACCTTTATGAATATGGATAAGAGTTGTGTATTTACTATTAATTCATCCATGCAGCAATAACCGTATATTACCAAGAAAAGAAAACATGTGGTATTCATCAACTTTCAAAATTCTCTGGCTCTCCAGGTTGGGGAGTGAGCATAAACATGTTTACAATTCCGTAATATGGGTGAAATATACTATATAATTTGGTTGTTTTACTGTTATCGGATGAAAATATAGCCTACAAAAAATTCGGACCATCACACAAACTGTTTTTAATGGGAGACTACTGAAACTTACAATCTTTTCCCTAACAATTATAGCAATGTTTGAGGAAGCTACTGTGGTTGTAAAAAAATTCGCGAATTTGTTTTAAAGTCTCTGGTTAATGAACAACGATACTGACAAAATAGATATATATGTAGGACTGGTCTATGGTGGATTCTACATCTATGGCAGATTTCAAATCTATGGCAAATATGACGTCACAAACGCCATACAAATCATGAATATATGCCAGTTTTGTGTTTTTTCAAATCTATGGCAGATTTTGAAATTGCGTAATTTTACAGGAAAAGGAGTAAACTATAACGTCATCATTAAATAACGTCATGTTGCGTCGTTATGTAAAAAGCCAAACTGGTTAATTCTTTTTCTACAAACTTCATTTTGGTTTGTTTAGGGACTTTCATTAGTTTGTTAAATGACTGGGTAAAACCAGTAAAATGCATAGAGGCGGACAAGTTTATTCTCCCGGGGCACGTCATTTCACTCCTTAAATCTGTATAAGTGTTTATCACTTCCTCACTTAAAAATTGTATGGTCGCCATCACGATTTGGTTGACCATTATGGAATGTCCATATCACAAATGGTTATTAAAATGCTCCCGTTTTCGTACTCCTAATTCGTTTTTCTTACACCAAGTTTTATACTTACTACCGCGGCTGTTTGATACCTTTGGACGCTGCGACGGGTTCTGCATGTGGAGCAGAAAATGCTTACTCTTCCGAAGCATCCAATTTCACTCTCGGTTTTTATGGTTATTCCCAATGTTCAGGCTTTGCTTTTTTGGTATTAATGGTGTTTGAGTAACGTGAATGTTTCCGCCCCTTGTTTTCGTGTCATCGTCTGTATCCCTGGTGTTGCCTTGTCTCTTGATTATACGAGTTTTTACTGTGACTTTTGTATGCATTTTACTTTTCTTTAATATTATTTTGTTATGCTATTCTATTTTCTTGTTATTTTTTTAATCCCTATGACACCCTTTAACAACGACTACACGGACTATTGTAAAACTTTAAAAACAAATTTGTCACACATTTCTAATAGCTTTCTACATGATTTTCAGCTATATTTATGTCGAATACCTGTACTGTTGGAAAAGGTAAGATTTCTTACGAAAGCCACTTGTTTAAGACAAGTCGTTGATCAGATATGTACTGAATGGTCCACTATTTGTAGAAAATTTGTCATAGATATGGAAACTAAAAAATCTGCCCTAGATTTAAGGTGGCATGACGTCATATTTATCATATATTTGGAATCTGCCATAAATTTGAAACCCACCAATCATATGAGTCCTACAAATCGTCGTGTGAATTTATAGAGTTATATGTCCACTTTCGATTAAAAAGGAGATAGCTTTATATCTGATAT